GTCAGGTAAGTGACCAGCAAGCAAATTCTTGTAGATCCTGCTGGAATGATTGAAATTACTGTTCCCAGCTGCATTTGGTAACACGCTGTGCAACTATAGCACTGCAACAGGTTGCACAAGCGCTGCCTTTCAGCAGTGATTTAAGTTATTCTAGCAAATACAGCCTTACAACTCTGCCCTTTTTTGGAAGGTTTTTTATGTTCCAGTACATCATACCTGTAAACACACTAATTTAAGTGGTACAGTTCTCCTCCTTAAATGAAGGAAAATGCCTCACTTTACATTCACATCCAACAAAAGGAATAATCTCTATCTGAAAAAAGACACTTTTCTGTTCATAAATTGGTTCAATACATTTTTATTAATAATGAATTAATATTAATAATGAATATTTATAAGTTGAATTCTCATCAATATAGTCACAGAATATTTTCAAGAGCAGACCATGGCTAGACAAAAACATTCCAGGAAATAATTCTATCTTTTATGCTGCAGTGGAATTTTGAGCTTACAAATGTAAGGGGAAATTAACACACATGATTCTGCAAAAAGTAAACCACTATGCAAAGAGTTGTCTAAGAAAGTTTAAAAAGTTTCTCAAGGAAGATCTATAAAATAAAACTCACCTTCAAGATTTCCATAAAATGAAAAGATGTGAGTTGATGTACCTGATGAAGGATAAATTGTGAATACAATACATCTTTTATTGAAATAAAGCAGAACACATTAATCTGTTTTTTTCAAATAAAACATCTTCAGGTTTTCAGCATTCAGTTCAAAATAAATTGCTTATAAGTTACTAAAACAGGAGGTGAGGGGCTACAACTAGAGCTAAAAATCAGCTTAGGCTGCAAATTCTAATACCTGCAGAAGCCATAGTAGGAACATATCACATTCCTGTGACCCAACCGGTAATAAGATCACCATGGTCCAAAGCAACGCTGACCTATTTGTTGGTCCAATTTATTTTTGTTTGTCCACAAGCCTTCTGCAATCAAAAGAAATCACTATAAAAGCAGTCTTCTGCTTATGCCTCTGAGACTGACCTTTTGTATACAAAGATGATGCAGGTTTACCTTCAGCCTTTAGTATTTTTCAGAAGCTGGCAGGCCTCTTTTCAAATTCACAATTAAAAATAAATGAACTTATCCAAGTGCTCCAAGAGTCGGAAAGCCTTAGCAAAAGGAAAAATCTACACTCTACCAAACCTCTGCTTTCACCAGCATCCATAGCACTTAAACCCCATTCAGTCAAAATGCAAAATCACCTTCACCCACCAGGAGAGATGCTGAAGTGAAATTCCCAGAAGCAAGGTGGTCAGTTAGAACAGCGCCAGCATACTATAATGAAAATTTAACGCTAAATGGGCAAATCCATGCTTGTTTGCTGTTTGGGTTAAAGCCAGGGAAAACGTCAGTGACTCATGGGCTAGTGTGATGTATCTTGAAGGATGATTTCTGTCTAATGTGTAAGACCAGACAGACAAAATGAGTTCAGGTCGCACCACTACCCAGCTGTGGCAATGGCATACAGTACACTGTTAGAGTTTTACCTGGTTTTTCTAGGCCTAACCAGCATGACTAACTGCTTATAAGATGGATTATATGTTGTACAATTTTATATTTCAATTTAATCAAGCTGTTTATTCTGTTCATTTCTTAAATTTGGACTCCAGTATCATGAAAAGAAAAACAAAAAAATCCCTTAAGCAATGCTGCATTTTACCTTAAAGAGTTTCCATTTTTGAACATATACAGGTAACGTGTCTTGAAAAAACCCAACCATGGGATTCAGTACATCACTTACCTGAGTAACACGGTATCTCAGGCTTCCCTTCCCTGTTAGCCCTGACACCTCCATTACCCTCCTCCTTTCCCCAGGAGCACCTCAAATATCTCCTCTTTCCACCTGAGTAATCTCCTCGCCTGATTCCCCCTACTTCTTCTGTGGGATTCAACAGAGGTAATTTTAGATAGCAATACCTTTTCCACGAGGAAAGTAAAGGAATTGCACATGAGAAAATGTATCTTCTATTGCAGTATTTTCAACCAAACTGATAATTTAGTAACTCATTTGAAGGGACAAAAATGACACGAACAGCTTTTATTCCATTTTAAAAACTTAGTTAAGATTCTATTTTTGCAATCATAAACCTAAGTGCCTAAAAATAAAATAAAAAAATCAGTGTGGATTCAAAGCTTCTGAAGCTACTGGATGGCCTAAGTGCCTGCACACAGGTTATATCAATTTAAATCTTCTTTAAGGCAATTTGCTTCAAATGATGCAATCCTTTTAGCAAGTCACTCTGTTACACGGCCAGTTACACAAGGCTTGCACGTGTCACATGGAAGCTGTATCTAAACTAGGGACCACACGCAGTTTTCACTTGCTCTCAACTTTAAAAATAAATGGCTTCAACAAAGCCATTGCAAATTTCCATTAAAATAAGGCGAAGAACAATTCAATATTACAATAGTGTATTATTTATTACTATACCTAATAGAAAATACACAGTTTTAAGAGCGAGGCTCTGAAACTCAGATTCCCCCTTCTAGGTAATTGCCTTGACCAGAAAGCTACAGAATCTTAGCTTCTTGTTGTTTGTTTTATTCTGTTGGTGGGGTTGGGGTTTTTTTGTTGTTTTTTTTTTCATCCTGAGCTTTAATTCTTAAATGAGAAGTAAATCTGCTGGATTGTGGAAAAATGAAGATCAAAAGAAATATAAAATACCTACTAGGAGCCACCATGACCGGCAGCACATTGGTGTGAGTGCCCAACTCCTCCCGACACACGAAAGGGAACAGACATAGAAATTATCAATGTCGCTTTAAATCTCAGAATTACCTAACTTGTACACAACGTAAGTAAAGGAAGAACAACCTTATGGTTAACAGACTAAAACTGAAATTCAAATACTTCTAAATATGAGTGCTGATGTTAATCAGAATATAAAAAGCTTGTTGAAAGCTTTATTAAATGTCACTAGATTTCAGTTAAACCTTAAGGTTTTTTTTCTTCTTCTCTATAAGAAAATACTTCTATGTATTATAATCCTCTTGTAGAAAACTAAAACAATTTATTAAGAGAAATTAATCTGAAGATCTAATTTGTTAGAATTTGTAGACAGTCCAAGGAGTCTTATCTTACCAGAAATCTAAATACTAAATGCTAATACTAAATTCTGACTTTTTTGGCCACAGACTTTTAGTGAGTGACACAGCGTGAAGAATTAATATGAAATCTGTATTTCTGAATAATTTTAAAAGGACAGATGAAAGTTTTGACAAGATTTTATTGTGAAACATTGGATTTAGAAAAGGTACAAAATGTCAACGGTCAGATGTGTGCCAGTACAGTATTTCAATAGTCTATACATGTGGACAGCTGAACAGCTTCACTACAGAATGCGTATTTAGACATACAATCTAAAAAGGGGCCGCAATATTCACAGGCTTAAAATACATAAATAACTTGAGCCAAAATGGCGTGACTGGTCAATGCTAATCAACATCTGGAAACAGGCTAAAAAGCACAATACAGTACAACAATCTCCTTGCAGATCCACGTTTAAAGAACATCAGTTTATTATGTCAATAATCTACAGCTCCAGGACACTGTTTTCAGGACTGGGATTCAGTTGGCTAGTTTACAACTTTAAAAGATTCATGTTAGAAATGAGATTATGGAAGTAAACCTGCAGGTATTTAATTGGAACTAAACACTGTGAAGCCCCTAAAAATTTCTCAGACTGGGATTTATAAAGTCAATTATTTGTAATATAGAACTTCACTTTGTTCCTTTAAAATGTCCTTATTGCAGCTTGAACAGATATCATTAAGTGATTTTACTTCAAACATTTTAATTTGCAATCATTTCTGTGTTTTAAAACCAATTTCACCAAACATGGGTCAGCATTCAACTGCAAAAAAACCCAGTATCAAAAAGTCATACATTTGCGCATTAAAAAAACCAAACAACAAAACTTCCCCAGAGGATAGCAGCATTCTCTACCCTAGTTTAGCAAGTTTAAAGAGCATTTATAAACATACAAAGTTCATTTTAGGGTATAAAAATACACGTATGCCATACGAAACAAGCTAGCTTGATTTTTTCCAAATTATTCAGTAGTCTCTCACTGCTGGAATTTGTTTGAACTACTGAAAATGTGTTCATAGCTCAGTACATGGGTGCACAGCCAAGGAACTTTAGATTTTAGTACTTAATTAAAAGGTGTGTAGTTTATTCTACACAATTAACCTTACTGAAATATAAGCAGTTACCCTGTTACCAATCAGTACCCAGAGCTGAACTAAACCTTTACTTAGGTAAGTCTACTTCACTTTATGCTGATTCATAACTCGCCTTCCTGAACAGAGACCTTGGGGTATACTAAATTATGTTTAGTAGAAATTTCTGAATATGACTTATGTCCATTAGGAGCAGAGCTAAACTTAAACTGATGTAATTTAGAATCAAAATCTACCCAAAACATTAAAACACTCACTCTTTGACACCACATCCACTCCCTTAGTTTCAAGGCCATTCGTTTTGGCTACCCTTTTCTTACTGTGTGTTTTACTGTGGGATGAGAATCTCGCAATTCATTAAGAAGAATCACCGTAAGTTACAACTAAGTACATTAAATCAGACAATGGGGAATAAAAACGTTTTTAAAACTTTGAGTATATTGCTAATTAAGGACGTGACATTGGGAGTACAATGTCTGCTATGGAATTAAAATCAGCGCTGTGCCAAATGGGAACAATATATAAACAAACCACTAAACTCCAGTGTGGCAAAAAACCCATTTTGTTTTTTGTTCAGGAAGTGTTTGGCATGAGCAGCACTAACAAAATTCTACACCTCACAGACACAAGCTACAAAGGTCACCTAAAGCCAAGACTCACTGTCCATCGATCAGCTAGTTCTTAATGCTGCTTCAAGCACTGCACTAGCCACTTTGATCTTTGTTTCAGATTCCTCTGTACACACAGTTATATTTACATAAAACATTTATTAAACATGATTTTAAAACATAAAAACCTTATGTACAAAATACCAACATTCCTATAAATAAACAGTTGGAGAAAGGCACTTGCAAGAAAAATCTACAGTAAATCTTACAAAAACGACACTGCCTCTGTTACTGTACAATAGATAATCTTTCGGTAAATCCCTATCACAAGAATGTAAAACACTAATTACTTGTTATAACTAAGAATATAACCATTACAGTTGTATTTACACATACATATATGCCTCTTTTTTTTTTGTTTCACTTGAGAGCACCATGATTTCCATTCTAAATTTATATTTTGATACAAAGTAAAAGAACAGTTGCCAGAAACCAGCATTCAGCATCACGGCAGATTCAAACTTTTGGCTGACATCAGTGTAGTTTAAAAGACTCAGTTGCTGCTTTGTAAAAAGTACACCTAGTTTGTTATTGCATGTTGTCCTTTTAGAGAGAGCACTGCTATGTTCTCTATGCAATTGTTTAATACTATTGCTGGCAAAAAGTTTCCAATATCAAAAAAATAAAAACATTCTTCAAGCCAGTTGAAGTATTTCATCTGAACAGTAACTAAAAAAAGCTGCATATTAATTATAAAAACGTGTAGGAAACATGCCAACTAATCTGGTGTGCAAAAATAGTTTTTTCCACTACACAGGATTTTAAGGGCTTCACAGAATTACTCAAATTTTCATTGAGTAGCAAACCCCACGAATAACCAGTTCCTCAAGGAGATGTTAGTATACTTCCACTTTTATCAAACTTTTTACCCTTCGACAATGCTGCAACCTGTTTGAGCAGTTCTCTGTTTTTGGCCTGCAATACGGATAAAAAAAGTTTTATGAATTACTGAAACGTCTGAGATAGTACTGTCATGCATTAATTTCCCATTGCATTATGAAATAAATTCTCAAAACGTACACATTGAGAATATTCAAGGATGATAACGATCACTTTTCAAAGATTTGTATACACTTTTTGATCTGCATACTCCACCTTTAACAGAAAAGGTAAACACATTTCCTGTATTGTGAAACATAGTATCTGAGGTATGGCACTATCTGCTCAGTCTGTGATTTATGAGGCAACTAATTCAGGCTTCCTTCCTGATAAAGAAACGTTTAACTGTCAGTTGTGTTATGCTGAGCCATTAAATCCGATCAACAGCACACTGACAACTGATTAAATATCAGTGAACAGACAAAAAAATAAAGATAACCTTTGATGAAGCATGCGAGGTAAGCCACTATCTCAAAGTTAGAAAGCAATTCTTACAGTGAGTTTAATCCATACAGAGATTGTCTGTTGACTGCAGAACTGCTGAACAATGCATCTGAAGTTAAATACGGTAATGAACATTCAAGAACTTGGTCCTATTTCATCGCTGTAAGCGAACAGCCAGAATACATAACTCCATCTGAAGTATTTCTCGAGTATCCATAAGCAATTACTCACCTGCAACTGTTCCACAGTTTCCTTGTGAGCTTTCTCCATACTGTTCATCTTTGTCCTCAAGTTAGACTCCTGGTACTGGAAGTCTGCCTTCAGTTCTGTCAACTGAAAAGACAAATTCTATGAGGATTCCCTGGACTGTTACAGGATACATCTTTTAATCAATCTGTGAACTCTTTATGGAAGCCTCAGGAATCTCAGGAAACACTGTATTTATTTACTCTTGTAGTATGAACAGCTCACACTCGAGAAGTAGCTTGAAAAGTAAGTATGTCTATTTTATATGAAGAAAACAACTGTTCTTATGTAACTATATTGTTTGCCCAGGATTTGGTATGAAGAAGGTTAATCCTCAAAAAAACTCCAAACACCCAAAACAAACAAACAAAAAACCAAAAAAAAAAAAAACCCAAAACTAATGATTATTATAAATCATTAGCTGTTCTTTCAGCTGTGAGACTGTGAGATACTTACCACAATCTTCAGCTGTCCGGTAACACATGAAAAATCTTCCATACAAAGGCAACAGAAAGGATTCCTTTGGGTCCTTTTATGCTACAATTTGTCCTAAACAGAAGTGTTCCAGAGTTTCACTGCTTCTCAACCCACAATAGTGAATTAAATGATGTTATTAGAAATATGTCACTAAAATGACTTAACTTACGATTTAATTCTGAGTGTATGGTGTAGTATTGCTGCCACTGGGTCTGTCCTGAGAGAGGCAGAGATCCACATGACATACACTAAAGCAGGTGTTTATAAATTGTGGTACATGCTTCTATCCAAGCAGCTGAATGCTTCTTCTGGAAGCCTGCGCAGCTGAGTGAACTACTAACAGTTTGTTGTATATGGACCCAGAAGTTTTAGGAACCACTTATTTAAAAAATTTAGTTCATAGAATCATAGAATGGTTTGGGTCAGAAGGGACCTCAAAGACCATCTAGTTCCAGTCCCCTGCCACGGGCAGGGACACCCTCCACCAGACCACATTGCCCAAAGCCTCATCCAACCTGGCCTTGAACACTTCCAGGGATGGGGCCTCCACAACCTCTCTGGGCAACCTGTTCCAGTGCCTCACCACCCTCACAGTAAAGGATTTCTTTCTAACATCTAATCTAAATCGACCCTCCTTCAGCTTGAACCCATTACCCCTTGTCCTGTCACCACACTCCCTGATAAACAGTCCCTCACCAGCTTTCTTGTAGGCCCCTTCAGGTACTGGAAGGCTGCAATTAGGTCTGCCTGGAGCCTTCCTGCAAAGGTTCCTCAAAGCATCCCAGATTCAGTTGGCTATTTTGAACCTCTCTGGTCAATCTGGATTTATCAGGAAATGAAACCTCTTTGCTAGCACAGAAACCTGCTAGAGCAAACCAGAACAAACATTCCTAAGATAATTACCAAGACTGCTATTACCAACCTTAATAGGTGTCAAATCCTATGTAGTGAAACAAGGTATTCAAAAGAACTGTCAATCAAATGGTCCTAAATAAAGTCCAAGTACCTTGATACAAGGATATATACCTCACTGTACACAGACTGCTGCTCAAGGTATGTCCTTACAGCTGCTCTAAATTCCAGGGGATCCAGTACAAAACCACGTATCACAAACTAAATATCAAAAAAACTAGTGGTATCGCACCATAGTAAAGTATGCAACTAGATGAGCAAATGCACTACCTGTGAGCATTCAGCAAATTGTGGTCCCTTCTTCATGATCAAGTCTCAGGGGCCCAGGGAAATGTCTTGGTGTCTTACTAACATTTTGTCCAGAAAGCAAAACAAGGCTAGTACTGCAGCCAGTAAGCACTGGTGATGACATGGCTGAGATCTTGACTCGTAAGAAAAAGTGAAGAACGAGGATTGTCTGTGAAGCTGGTGTACTGAGTTGGTTGTGTTGCCATACATTATACATTTCAGAGGTTTTTCGTTTGGAGCGCTCCAAACTGCTCAAATGCTGTCCCTATGCAAATCTTGGGACAAGATCTTAACAGGAATTTCCCACAGGTCTGCCTCAGGCTTTTATCCCAGTACATGCCTTTACATTTACTATCTCACAATCAAAAAAAATCAGCACTGCACTCATTTGTTGTAAATTTTTCAGCTATGCAAACAGCATATGACGTGTTCACCTTTTCTCCCAGCTGAAGAAAGTAAGCGACATTCTGAAAGTAATTCATGTCTGAAGAAGTCTAAGTTCAAAGTACTCAGATGTCAAATAAATAGTTTTAGCAGTAGGGATACAAAAATTATTAGGTGCTCTCCCTATGGAAACAGCACAAAACAAGTTACTGCAGTGGTTATGCAGAAGTAGGTGACGTTTCCTTACCTAACCCTTTTGTTAGCTTTGCCCAGTTGATCAAATACCAAAAGAGAGAAGTGAATTTCCTACTGACTCATAATCTTCTGGCTTCATATGAGAGAGATCAGGGCCTTAACGTCTGTCCTTTGAAGAAAATACCTAAAGAGAATCTATGATTGCTCAGGTCTTTCACATTAACTTGAAATAGCAAGTGCTTCTAACACTAAATATCTTTAACAGTGATATAAAGGAAAAAAGGTTCAATATCCTTTACACAACACATTTAAGTGTAGAAATGAAGATACTGAACTATGGCTTAAAAATAGAAGCATTTTCCCTTCAGGATCAATGAGCTTCTCTCAACCATCAATGTTTTGCTAGGCCACCGTGCACCTAGAATAAAAATTTTACTTGAAAATATAGTAAATTAAATTATTTTTAATACAACTCCATAACCTACCCAATCCTGAACAGACATTCTAGAGCCACAATTACAGACAGGGTCTTAAAAGCATCTAGTTAATCAGATGGCTGAGAAACAGGCTCTCATGAAGGCAGAACAAAGTACGTATTTGTAGTTATTTCTCTTTTCTTGTTAGTCATTAGGTTGTTTGAAGGGTGAATCTCTTGTATGAGTTTCACTGCAGCCATGTGGGCCGACTGTTTTGATTAACTTTTGTTGACTGTCAGGCATCTAATCCAAGCTTTTCTTCTAGTCTCAGACCATACTCAAAGACTTGATAACCTACACTACACATATGCTACCAATCTTTTAAAATCAAACACTTAATTTTCATACACTGTACATGCAAGTTTGGACATCAACTCATGAACTATGGCTATAGTTGCTTTAATTTAAAACTAAACTAAAACTATGCTAAGATCAGAGTGGTGACTACTCTTAATCCTCCTCTTACCTCATGTGCCCATCAGTCTACACAGGTATCCAGAATCTTTGCTGTGGCTCAGTTTAAAATAGGTAAAACATACAAACCACTGTCCAGCATTTTATCCATCACCTGTGGCACACAGCCCGAGTAACAGCAAATCAGACGGCTGAAGTGAGGTACAATGAATTCCTCTTTGACTTAGAGCCAAAATATATTCATGATACAAAAGCGCTCAAACTTGGTAAGATCTGATTAGTTGCTATATAAAAAAATTGTATCTGATTTTTGTTTTATGTCACCATTTTGACATTGTTAGGAGTCTACAAAAGAGAAAACAAAATGATAAAGTTCTTATTAAGCAGATGCAACTTTTACCTTTTTATCTTTTTCCAGAATAGTCTGATCTCTTTGTTGCAGAAGACGTTTAAGTGACATTACTTCTTCTTTCAACTGACTTATGAGGACAAAGTTGTCAGTTCCTCCACTGTCTGCTGACTGATTTATAGAGCTACTAAAAATAAAAAAACAATAGTTACTTGCAACATCAATAGGAAAAAACAGTAACTTTTTTTAAAGTTGGATAATTAATAATTCCACAAACATCCTTAAGGACTAATGCAAAAAAAGTATGTACCTGACAGAAATGGATGCAACTGGCAATTACCTTACTAATGGCACACATTACATACACCTGCAGAAATATAATTAAGTATTAGCTTTGAGGGGGACAAAAACCTTTTGACTGAAGCAGCCACTTTTACTTTTACTGCAACTATGTGGCCAGAGGCAGAATAAAGATTCAGTCTCACACATTAAGGTCCAAAAGATTTCTCTAGACCCTAGGTCAGCTTAAAGCAGCAGGTTCATCCCTGTATCTAATCGACAAAACACTTAGTTAGGGAATACGGTTTCATTGGTAACTGTTGCCTCATACATAAGCTTTATTTTTGCCCCGAACAGCTTAAAAGCAGGAACACAGTGCCAGTTTTCTGCTAATAAAGTCATTTAGTTCACTGACAGCACTCAGATGCCACCCAATAACCTGTCTGGCTGGACAATAGTTTCACCTCCCTCATCCTTCAGACCAAAAAAGAAAACAAAAAACAAAACAACCAACTGGCCACAAATCAGTACTCTATTTGGTTGAAATGGCTCAGCTTTACAAAATATAACTTTACCTATCTCCATTTGATGGCTTGGATTCCAGTTTGGGTTTTTTCTTTGGAGTTTCATTCTGAATAGCTGCAGAGGATTTATGGCTGAAATCAAACAAAATGTAAACCTAAAGCCTTGTACTATATAACTCTCTAGTATCACCATTTGGTACACGTAAAATAACTAACTCATGCTCCTAGCTGGAATGCTGGAGACTAGCTAGAAAGGCAAGAAAAAAAGTCCTTTCAATGAAAACTGCTGGATAAATTAAAAGGAAATTAACAAATAGTATCATATTTACCTCTGTTTCCATAGTCCCTGATCTTGTTCTGGACTCAGACTGCTGATTCTGAAATACGTGAAATGTATTTGGTAACCGACCAAACATGCCATTATTTCTAAGTTTATGTGAATGGTATCTGTACTGGAGAAAAATCCACCCCCCTTTTGGTTTTTTTAATAAAGAAAGTTAACAATTACGAATTTTCAGTTGGACAGTCGTATTATCTGTCATATTCATGATCACTCTTTACTATATCAGGATACTATAAAAATATTTCTTGCCTAGATGTTTACACCATTGTAAGACACAAGGGGTAGACTTCGACTGAAGGCTAAACCTAAAGCAGCACTCCCGGGATTCCCATACTGCAATATGAACATTGCCTGAAGTGGTGCTTATGTGGTGGCATAAGAGCAAAGCTAAGTTTTGGATCCCTGAAAGTAACTGCTATTCAGGTCTAAAGATTTGTTTTCAATAGTTTCAAAAGCAATTAATAAGCACAATTGATATAGGAATGGTAGAATGTAGAAGATGGCACTCAATGAAATATTAAATGAATTTGTATTTCTACCTCATTGTCTCTATTGTCTCATCTTAACAATAACTGAAATGAAT